GTCATGGGATACAAATAATTCCATCACCATTGTCAAAACTATTCACTAAGGGTGCATTACTATTACTATTAGTATTCTCATTGTTCCTATCATCTGCCTCCTCCCACTTATGACTGCATGACTGTAACTTGTATCCTTATGATTTATATTGATATTGATATTGTTTCCTGATTGCTTATTTGTATCCCATGACTATCATTAAGTGTTGTACCTTATGATTCTTGACGAATGTATCTTGTCTTTTTATGTACAGAGACAAATTCCTTGTGTGTCCAATCACATGTGGCCAATAAATTCTATTCTATTCTATAGTATTTTATAGCCCTCTCTAAGTGGGCTGTACAAATGTCAACATATTGATCCAAGATCTGGATCCTTCCAGAGATTTGTTCAAAATGAATTAATTCCAAAGCTGACCACCAAATTCTATAACCATGGTATTCAGCACAAGAGGTGTGAGTTACTGTGTAAGGACTCATTTATATAGCATCATGCTACATTTTAAAATGATAAGCAGCAGATAGGCAGGGTAGAAAGGGAGTTGTTCTCATATGTTACGTTGGCGAAAAAGACCCAGGAGAATGAAGGAGAACAGAAATTAAAGCACTTTCCTCCCTTTAGATATCTGGTCCCAGTATGGAATTTTTTGTATTTCAGAGACAGCACAGCAGTTTAATCTCCCAGATGGGAGGAGATGGAAAAGTTTGTCAAAGTGAAAGGGAGATAGAAAGGGAGTTAGTGAATTAGCAAGATAACAGATAGCCGTGAAGGCTTCTCTTATAAATAAAAGTAGTATTACCAAGGCAAGTGGTCTTATTAAATTCATATTCAGCCAAAGTACATTATAGTTATGGATGAAAACAGACACTTCATTTAAAAAAAACCTGTCTATACCTTAGCTTTTACATTCCAAGTCTCTCTTGGGAAGCTCCCAAGAGTTTGGGTATTCTTTTCATTAACACCTTGAATCGCCTGCACTTGATGGTCAAATCCGGTGCAGTGACTTATTGTTATATTTCAAATACTTAAAGATGAAGTTTGCCATCACTATTGTAACAGTTTAAAATATTTCATTTATTTATCAGAGTTGTGCAGCAACCTGGTTTCAAAAAGGAAAAAAGTGATTCAAAGCCTGTGGGGACAGGTATAACATGTCAACAAGTCTTTGAAGAAGCTGGGTCTTTCCTTGGCATTGTGTTGGTTGATTCTATAGAAAGATGTGTTTGACTGAATGAGTTGCCAGAAGGTATGATATTTATGATCTGTAGTGAGTAGGCAAGGCATTAATGATGCACCTCGGGGCAAATCCAGCAGGAATCCCAGATTCTGATGCAGCTATTGGTTAAAGCTAAGGTCTGAACTGTAGGAAGACACTGATATAGCAACATGGAATGTCCAAGGAATGAGCCAAGGTAAATTGGATATTATCAAATGGAAGGTCACCGGGTTGAAAATCAACCTCGGGATCAATTAGTTACACTGGATAGAGAAAGCTATTTCAAATTAAAATCAGGTAAATACTATATGCATGTAAGGAACATATAAATGTTACATTTGGTTACATTTTTCACTGTGAATACTCTTTTATGTTTCAATTTTAAACCACTAAAATTATTATTTTCTATATTGTGTTACCTACAGTTGCTGTGAGTGAGTAGGTGGCTATATAATTTCATAAATAAATAAACAAAAATACGACGAAGCTGATGATAAGTGAAGTATTGTTACACAAGCTTTTATAGAACCAATTAATGTAAAGCTTCAATTTAATGGACTACTGTAGGAAGGGACATTCATTATACCCTATTAAATCCAAATAGGATTTTCATGGATGCCTAAAATGGCAAATAGGATTTTTTGCATACATATAAAAATGGGAAATACACAGAAGCGTATACAGTATACAGAAAAACTTTCTCCATTGCATCGAATATCTGTTGAATTAAGGTCTGGCAAATCAAGAGTTTACTTGTTTGAGTAAAGTGTGATTTATTTATTTTTACTTCATAGCTGAAGTATGAATTTAATACCTTTTAAGGAGCAGCAGCCCATTGGAAAAGAAACTTCCCAACTTTTCTCATCACATTCATCATTCAACACCATGCCAAACAATTGAGTGTTATAATAGTGTATATTAAACATAGTACTGGCCAACAGGTTGATAAACTTTCATGTTGTGATGTCTAAAATGGCAATAATGCAGGACTTATTACTAAGTACAGAACTACTACAGGTAGTCCTGGATTTATGACTGTAATAGAGCCTGGAATTTCCATTGTAAGTCTTGATGGTTGCAAGTCGAAGCACCTACAGACCGACCTCCTTTTATGACATTTTTGTGGTGGTAATTAAGTGAATGCTGTAGTCGATAAACAGGTCAATGCATTTCTATTTGTCTGAAAAAAATGTCATAAAACAGTGCAATCGGTTATACAGATGAGAAGGTTGCCAAGCACCCAAAATACAGTCATATGGTTGCAAAGGGTGGAGATGCCACCATGATAACTCTGGAACCAGGTCCTAAATACTGCATTTTCCCGAAAGTAAGTCAGGGTATTATTGTCTTTTGACCCCACCCCCCAATAAGAACTTGGCCTTATTTTCAGGAAGATCTTATTATTTTTGAGGTGCAGGATGCGATGAGGCGGTCACCTCATGGCTGCTGCTATGTTGCAATATTTTTGGGGAGGGCTTATTTTCAGGGGAGGGCATATTTTAGCGCATGCACTCAAAAGCCTGATTGGGCTTATTATCTGGGGAGGTCTTATTCTCAGGGAAACAGGGTTCATTTTTTTGGGGGGGGGGTATACGTGGTCATTTTAAATGTTCACTAAGTAATAGATTGTTAAGCAAAGAGGTATTTGTAGTCCATGTCCATGATTCCTTACATGCAACTTCTTGGATTTTTGGAAAATGGTTAGGCTGTGCTGCAGTTCAGATTCATTATTCAAAAGGTGCTTTGGAGTGTACACAGGAATGCAAGCTAAGCATCTGTCTGCTTAACCTTAAAATGCTTTGTATCTTTTCCTAGAACTGCATGTTGAGACAGGTGCTAGGTTTGAATCCCAGATCCTCTGGAAGGATCTCATGCTGATCAAAACTGAACAGCTACACAGCATGAACAAACAGCTCAAGGAAAACAACTCAGAATGTGGCAGCTTAAAAAAAGAGACACAATCCTTTATGGAACATTAGGAAAGGAGCTGTAGATAAAATTGACAGTAATATGTATATTTTATAGAAACCCGTTATATCACTCAACCAGAAGACTGAAGATGAAATGTCCCTTGTGGTGCTATGAAAAAAAAAATCAGTCCCTTTTGTATTGTCATGTTGCACATAAGCACGTAAGGGAAGACTGTGCATTTTTGCCATCAAGGCACTTTTCATCATTTCACTGGAACTGCTGGTTGCTGTGAACACTCATCACCATAAAGTTTCTACTCAAAAGTAAAAGAGGAAAGGAAAGAGTGGTGACTATGTAACAAACTAGCAGAGAAAGACTGCATAAAATCACAGCTTCCATTGGGTCTTTGTTATTAGCTACTTTCTGTGGTATGGGTCATGGACTGGAAGATATCCAAATTAAGTGCTTTTGGACTTAGCACTATCAATTATTTAGCACTTCCTTTCACAAAGACAGAACAACAAGGAGTGGAACAGCAAAAAATCCCAAACCCCTAAACAAATAAACAAACCCTACATTCTGCAATCTAGGATTTTGATACTTTGAATGCCTCTCGCGAAACGAGTTTTTCAGAAGATGTGTCTGTGAGACTAGGCATATGCATATGTATGTATATGTATATATATATACATGTCTGTATACATACACACACACTGTTATATATGTGTTTATTTGTATATACACAGATGTGCACAGGCACACATACAGTGTGTGTATGTGTGTATATATATGTATGTGTGTATATGTATGTATGTACACACACACACACACTCATTCATTCCTAGGTATAGCATTCTTAAAAGATTGGTTGGAATGGTATATACATGAAGAAATTTATATCTTGCCTTTCCAGTTTTTCAAAAAAGATACTGACAATATAAAAATTAGGCAAACAAAAAGTATATCCCAAAATGAAATTTTATCTGAATGATGAAATGCTATTTATTCAGCAGTTCAGGAAACTATAAGACTAAAAATAGAGTAATCTGCTAAAATGGGACGGAGCAGCTGCCCTAACCCCGTGGGGTATAATATTTGGGAACAGGTTTTCATTTTGTGCATGCAATTATTTTGTAAATTCAATTTAATACTGGTCAAAAAGCGTAACGAAGTATAGTGCTACCAGAATACTATTATCAGACTTTCCCAGACGTTTCATAACCTAAACAGGAGTGCAAAAAGCCTTTTTCGGATGCCTTAACCAATCACATGTTTAAGAAAAGTTTCTTCTTCATGGGCAGATTTGTGTATGATTGCTTGTTTATCCCATGATTTTGTCCTTCAATTCTGGCTATTTACAGGTGAAAGTCGAAAAATTAGAATATNGCAAGCCACTCCCACAAAGGAGGCCACACCCACAGAGTAGGTTCCAACAATTTTTGAAACCCACCACTGCTAGCCTCCCTTTATTTCTTTGTTGGTAAACATAAATTTAACACAAATATAAAGACCATGCTTCTTCAAAATGCATTATGAGCCTGGCTAAATGTTGATGTCTATTTAATGTAGTTTTTATTTTAATTTAAAATTTCAGACTTTTGAGGTAGGTGAAGAAACAGACACTTTAGGGATTCCAGGAATGCAGAATTTTGAAACCCTGTCCAAGTTTCTTGCTGTCCCATTTAATACTAAACAAAATCAAGGCAGGATTATTTTGAGTTTCTTCCTCACACTTACTTCAGTCTCTGTACTGTGTAATCTCTTACTCAAGTTCCTCCTAATGACATTCAGCTCTAAGTTACTTTAGAGTTCTAAACTTATGAGAACTGTCAAAAATTTATGGGATGAGGCAGGACACAAGCACTGGAATAAAGAGATGTGAGCCGAGGAGCGTTGTGTTTTAAGATGGATGGTTATATATTTTTTAAAAAATAAGTAAGTAAAATATCAATGCTAAGAAACATTATAGGGAAAATAGCTTTCATGACACAGGATTTGGTCTCGTTGTCATAGTGTTTTCTTGGGAGACATCAACACCACCAAACCAATTATGCTTTTACAACTAAACCATCTAATAACCATAATGTTAGATATTTAATTTGGCATTAAATATATATTACAGATATATTGCCAAATTTAATAAAAATGGGGAAGATTTTAGTTTCTAAAAGGGGAGTTCCTGAAGGTGAGTAGAAAATAAACTTTGAAAAGAAAAAAAACTAGATCAAGCCAAAGGCTTTTCAATTAAAATTCACTATAATTTTATCTGATTCATTCACAATTATTTTGTTTGTAAATTGTTTCAACAGAACAGTGACCAACAGGAAAATAGCATACAAATATTTAGTTAAATGATTCTTAAGATGTAAAATTCCTATCCTAAGAAGATTTTACCCTGAATACTTGCAAATTGATGAAAGTGTGCTTCTTGAAATCTATTTCCAATACTTCAGCATAGTCTGTTTACATAATCTGTATCAGCACTCTGATTATTCTGGGAAAATTGGATTTGTTGTTCTCATAATGACAAGATCCATTATTAGGAAAATGCGTGTACAGGAACTGCTTGACTAATGACCACAATTGGGACCTGAATCTTCATAGCTATAAGAGTCATACCTGATTTTATGACCTTTTTGGCTTGGTTGCTAAGCAATCAGACTGTTGTTAAAGTGAACCCAGTCTCATCCTTTGACTTTGCTTGTTGAAACTGATTGAGAAACTTCCAATCGGTATTGGAAGTTTGCAAATGGTGATCATGTGAGCTGCAACCACTCTAAATACCTGCCAGTAGACAAGCACCTGAATTTTGATCATGTGACTATGGGAATGTTGTGTTGGTTGGAAATGTGAGGAACTGTCATAAATCACTTATTTCTGCACTGCCATAACTTTGAATGGTCATTAAACAAATGGTTCTAAATCAAGGACTACCAGTAATGAACCATCACAAGTTTTGTAATATAAATGTTAAGTCTTCTCTTTCCATTCCCTACTTTCAGGGGTAGTCAGTACACACTCACCTGGTCAGCCAAAGAGGTGGAGAGCATGCTCATTAGCTCTCTTTCAGCTGTGAGTCTCCACATCTGCTCCCATTTCATCTTGCGCAATTTATCCAGAAGTAACAGAATAACCCCTGGAATCAGTAAGCAATGCAAACAAAGAAAAAAGCAAGCTGCAGTGAAAATGGCAAAAAGCAAGGCCTTTGCGCTTCAGCATGGTTGTATCAGGATTAAAATGGAAGCTTTATTAATTGTAAACTATGGGCAGTTCCATCATGCTGAGAACAAAAGAGAGGGGGGAAGTTAACCTAAGAAACCTCACAAATTAGAATAATTCTTTAATCAACAATTGGATCTCTTTCTATCAATCTACCTGTCAAACAAAACATAATAGTTTTCATTTATATGTATAGCTCAGGTTTTTAAATGGCAGAAATATGTGCGTGCCAGAAAGCAAATTTGGTGTTTTCAGATGAGATGTTCCAGGCAGTAGCAATCAAATGACATTATAAAGGAAGTCGATCTTTTCCACTTAATTGATCTTTTCCTGGTTAAAAAAAGAAATAGAAAAATGCAGGCACTTTGCAAATATAAGGCTCATCTTAAAACACCCAGCATTTTCAGAAGGGAAAAAGAAAAACATTTTAACCATTCCATCAACAACCACTCCTTTATCTATATTGGACAAAACTTTTGAGAAAGATGTATTTTTCATATGTCCCTACACAAAGTTAATAAAGAGACCAATATAAATATCAGGCTAAGTTATATTGGATAAGGTGACTGTTTTAATGGCCATACAGAAATCTTTATGTAAATTAATTATACTGAATGCAGAATTCATTATCACGAGTACAACATTTGTTACAGTCAGTTTCCTCTCCATCTGGACTACCTGTTCTACACATGGATGATTAATCATCAAACGATTAGTAGATCAAAGGATTTTAATGCATACTTGCAAATGTCTTCACTAAAATTTTAAAGTTTCACAAGATTGACATAATAGGATGTATTCACCAATAACACTTCCACGTTTATACCGGGTTTGCTGCTGATGCAAAAGAGCTAAACTCAGAGAGCACCAAGTACCCCTCATTTCAACCCTGAACTACAAATATTATTCTTTAATGTTACCATACCAAAGGCACTGGAACCCTGAAGCACCTTATCCTGAACCATCAGGTAAAAATATGGTAACATGATGCTTTGAGTGGTGAATTTGGAGAGCCCCCTTGGTGAATTCATGAATGCCCTCTGAATTTATTATGAAAATAAATACTACATCGATTCACCAGGCTTTCTAAAAAATCGTAATATTTCAACCACCTATTTTGTTTCTTTCCTGCTGCAAAAAAGGATTTGTGGAGGATGGGGGAGGGAGAAATCCCTTTATAATATTCTCTGATGAAATCTTAACCAGCCTTTTTCAACATGGAACAATTGATTCTTTTTGCTGTTGTTTTTAATGCTCTGAAAAGGAACTTTAATCCTGCCTGGAGTTTGCATAGATGGCTAGAATCAGAAAGACTATTTGTGCCCAAGAATATCACAAAGGAATTATCCCTGAGATTGAAGGTCAGGGTAAAACAGAATCTTCTCTCTTCTATCACAAATTCATACTAGGGATAATAAAATTCCCCTTCCTAGTTGAGGATTACCTTGAGAGAGCAAGGATTTAGTTAATCAGAATGTAATACATTCAAAAGGCAGAATTGGAAGGGACCTTGGAGGTCTTCTAGTCCAACCCCCTGCCTAGGCAGGAAACCCTATACCGTTTCAGACAAACATCTTCTTAAAGACTTCCAGTGTTGGGGCATTCACAACTTCTTGAGGCAAGCTGCTCCACTGATTAATTGTTTTAACTGTCAGAAAATTTCTCCTCAGTTCTAAGTTGCTTCTCTCCTTGATTAGTTTCCACCCATTGCTTCTTGTTCTACCTTCAGGTGCCTTGAAGAATAGTTGGACACCCTCTTCTTTGTGGCAACCCCTGAGATATTGGAACACTGCTATCATGTCTCCCCTAGTCC